AAAATTCCACTCGTGTATTGATACTAAACAAACAAAGCATTAATGCATAGAGCGCCCTGACTGAGTATTCCTATTTATAATACGCTGGGGTGAAAACTTTCTGCTGTCGTATCAGAATATTTCACTTAAAAAAATGTCGTCCTCTATATGAGGGCGCTCTGTACCCGTATTCACAGAAGGATACTTTTCCCACTTTTAATTAACTACACAAAGGTTATCGATGCTTTATTGTGAAGAGTGCACTCATTTGGAACTGCTACTACTAGCCGCATAGGGGCGGATCAAGGAAATAACTAGGATTAACCATCGGGGGGGGGGTAGGGCAACTCGGGATGCATCCACTTTTCAAGAGGGGCGCGTAAAGGCAAATCGTATCATTTTAACAGCACGGCATAATTTTTCCAATTCAATATTTACACAATTTTAATAATGTTTGTCAACCATTAATGATTTAAGGACTCCATGTTTTGTCGAAGGAAACTTTCAGTATGGATGAAATGGGGGGAGGGAACCGCCACTATCATTAAATTAACCTTAATCGAGTTGACTGCTTTGATCGAGACTACAATATCTATGAATGAAAGATCATATCTATCACATGACTCGTCGGAATTTGAACCTTTTGGTGCAAACAATACACTTGTTATATGTAGATATTGGGGCTTACGTGCAGGTTTGAGTTAACCCTCCTCAAAAGCAGCCGCCATATTGGATTCATTGGATTTATCATTGAACAAAAACTTCCTTGCTCAATATTTTGCTCGAGTGGATAACTGTCCGGGGACTGGGTCGTGTTGAGAGAAAAGGTGGTGACGCGAGGCTTCGTTTTCAAGCAGCGATCCTGTGCACAGGTAGGTCAATTAATCTTCTCCAATTTGGATTTTTGTTTGGTACGAGTTCACCTTCATTCGTCTCATGATTAACCAGTGGCGCAGCCAGGATTTGGCTGGGGGGCCTCAATTTTTTTTTCAAAAAATGTTGCCCAAAATGTTTGGCCGCAGAGAAAAATTTGATTTGGGGGGGGGGGACTATTTTGACGTTGGTGGCGCCACGTACACCCCCTATTATACTACTCGAAAATAGGCCACATACATATTGGCAAGGTAAAATGGTGGGACTAACAATGAAAATTACCACACACAAAAAAAAGAATTAAAAAAATGACAACCTGTGGGGGGGGGGGGGGGGGCTCAAGCCCCCCCGAGCCCTCCTCCCTTGGGTGCGCCACTGTAATTAGCGTTATTGTCTTTTTCTCTCGTTTGTTATCGTATATGTGGCCAACATATAACTTCCTCCTTTGTCTAACATTCATTGTGTGTTAAGACAAGGCAAGCCTAATCAAGTTGGTTCTTGACCAGTTATGACAAAGTTCACAAAAATCTATTCCGATTGATTCAAGTAAAATCAAGCTCCCCTTCCCGCTTTTCTATTTTTTTTGTCATTGCCTTTGGGTGCTTTGCTTCAGTTCAATTCAAATAGATATTTGTTTCCATACTTTCAAATGGTGATTATATTTTCAAACAAATAACTATTAGATTATCAAATGTGTATACAATTAGCAATAAGGAAAACGAATGTATTTATATAGTTCTTTTAGAGTTTTAATTCTTGAATAATCGTGGTTCCCGCCCCTTTTACAAAATGAGTTTGGAACAGGCTTCAACCTACTGGAGGGCAGATTGACAAAAGCAACCCCAAATAAAACCTGTTTTAAGAGGGTTGCAAACACCAAATAATGTCTGTTAACATACAATGTAACATGTCAAAATTCTTTATAGAAGTTTTACAACAATCAAATTTTCGAAGAGCCGCGATTAATTAGTAACGAGGAAGGCGCCAATGATTAGAGAAAAAACAGGATCATGATGCGCTATATCTCTGAAGTTGAAATATCCCATGGGAATTTTGTATGTTGTAAGCCGGCTGGGCCTGATGGGATTTATGGTAAACTTCTTTCATTCATTATTTCAGTGGTTATTGGATATCCAGGCAGTCCCAAAGCTATGGAAATACTCTGTTGTCATTCCGATACCCAAAATACCCAAATCATTTTATGCAGGTCGAACATTGGACATCTCCTTGTTTGCTATCAGAATAACAGAAAAGCAGGTTTAACGTTTTCGAAAGTTCAATTTTCATACTTTTCTGTCGTCTGCTTCCTGAAAAGCAGATTTTGCTTTTCCAATTTTTGCTGGCGGACGAAAGTTGAAATCTGCTCGAGGATAAGAAAATAAGATTGGATGTTTTCGACGTATGCATTTGGGCCGCCTAAATGAAATTGCTTTTCTGGTAAAGCTGAACAGCTGAAAAAGTAGACAATAATTGTCGTCAAAATATTCAATCGTCTTTTCTACTTTCTGTATGGAAAAAAGTAGAAGGCCACTTTTCGGCAGCCTGAGTATAATGTACTTTCCATGTGAAAGAAATGCAGAAATGGTGGAAAACTTTCAGTTTTATTTTCTGCTCTTTGAGCAAGAAAAAGCAGATGTCCAAAAAGAATACAACTAAAATTTGCTTTTCGGGTTCCAGAAAAGAAGAAAAGCAGACAATTTATTTTTGTTAAAATGTAAACTCTTCTTTTCTGGCAACAGACGAAAGAAAGGTATTTTTAAGATGGAAACTGTTCTGCTATTCTGATAGCAAAAAGAAGAAGATGCCCACTTTCCGTCCTCCATGCTGCATGTGGTAACATTTAATTCGACTAACTGGGACTCTATACATCGCCTTTATTTAACATTTCGGCGTAAATCAAATCAGATTTCACAGAGGCTGTTCTTTGTTACAGAAATTCAGTTGCAACGAATTTACAAAAGGTTTTTTCATGCCTATCTAAGGTGCGTTTATGTACAAACTGAATATAAATGACTCAAGCACTAGAATGAATAATGAGGCAGTTACCATGCAAAAGTGGACATGGCTGAAAAGTGGAAATTATATGAAATTTTCAAAACTGCAGGCATTACAATATCAAATGTGGTATCAAATAAAAGGGGACAACAAGGCCTGTCCTGTTGAGTGGTGCGCCAGTTGTACTTTTTGTCAAAAAGTTGGGAGGCAAACTTTAGGGATTTTAGGGAGTCATTTTGGCATCTTGTTTTCGCATGCAAAAGACAAGTGTTATTGTGTTTTTTTATGGCAGAGAGAAAGGTTCATATTCTATGCCAAAAGAGTTTGTTTGTTTTATGAAGAATATAGAGGGTTTTTTTGCTTTGTTTTCTTTTACATGTTTTCACTTGTGTATAGTCTATATCGGTATTCACTTGTGTATAGTCTATATCGGTATTCACTTGTGTATAGTCTATATCGGTATAAGTCATAAACTTAAGCCGTGGATTTTTGTTAATAATGTTTAGTGTAATTTTACAATCTAAAACATTATACGTGTGCACTATCCTGACAATTATTGCACGTCGATTGCGCGCTTGATATAGGCTTGTTCGAACCTTGTACTTTTTGGAAACGTCTCGCAAACCGAGCTTTGTTGGGTTAATCTCTGTTATAGAGTGCCGTGTACAGAGTCGTAAAGGTGGAGAGGTGTGAGGGCCATGTAAACAATTACAATGCAAACAAGGTACAAGTCCGAGATTGTTCTAGTATTGATTCAAAGCGGTTCTGTTTGATTTTACTTTTTTTTTTGTTAATCTCGCGCCGAAGCTAGAGCCCAACCAATATTCGCGGCTGTCTAAAATTGTTGTCATAACGTTTAAATGTTACTTAGCTGTGTAAGCTGTATGGCTTTAAGCGAGATTAAATGTGGGTTCACAATTTGAACAGAAACCCCCTTAACTGAGCATGTCTTCCTGAACACAGCAGCAGCGCCCTGCCCTCAGTTGTCCGGAAAGGAATGGAACATTAAAAAATGCTTAAAGAAGTGTTCTTTTCAATAAAATTTACCAAAAAGGGATGTCAAATAGTTGTCATACATTTAAGAGGAGTTGCAAAAATTGTGTTCCTAAGAACAGATCTTTTAAAGAGTGCAGGGGTCGTATGGGGAGGTGTGAGGGTCAGGTAAACACATAGCTTGGCAACCACTACGCACGCACGCTACCAGCAGCCATTGAGATAAACGGTTTGATCGTGTGATTTACTCGACTTTGGAACCATTTATTTGCCAACGCCTTTGCTAGTCACTTCGTAGGACTCAGAACAAGAAAACAACTGCAAGTCCGAAAAAAATGATTGAAAAATAGTTAATATTAGAACCTTTCTTTTTCTAGATTAACGAGATAAGTACAATCGTGCCACGTAGTCAAACCACCCTGGACGGAGCGACGTAGAGGTATTTAAAGGTAAGACTTTCCAGTGACATTTTTAAGGAAATCGACCGTGGAAAGAACCGCGTTTATTTAAAATCATGTCTGTTTGGCTCTGAAATATTGTCACATATGAAAAAAACAAGTCACCATATTTTTGTCTTTGTACTTTTCTTAGCAGAAATTAGTTCCCCTCATTGATAACGCTCATGAAATAACGCTTTTACATTTTTTTCCGATTGTACCTACTAATCTGTTTTTTTTTAAATTTCCTGATAATAATTTTATTTGACCGATATGAGTTATAGCTATTCAGTTTGTGCACAATCCCAGTCCTTCAAGTTTGGCCCAACACTGCCACTGTTCCAGATAGTAGAGTTTATACCTTTTCGTAGAGCTGATTGTGACTTCCTCAAACCGTTGTTCTTAACCGTTTACCAAATAACCTTTGTCATCCCATTCATTGAAAATGATTGTTTTCTTGCTACAGGTGTTTCCGAACCAGACAAGTGCAGCCAGCTCACTCCGATTAGATAATCCTCAGGACTATTACAGACTTTAATTGCTGGACTAACCTGCCTCTCGTCCGCCAAGAACTGAACAAACCTGCTCGAAAACCAAAGGGAATGTAGTTCAGTTAATACAAGTATAGTGTTGACGGTTTTTTTTTATTCAAACGTCCCCATAGTTGCCGATCAAAAACATATTTAAAAAGTTAAGGCGGGTGGCGGGGGGGGGGGGGGGGGGGTCAGCCAACAATGAAGAGAACTTATGAACAAACTCAGCCTGTTGGCCAACCAGTAACTACTCCATCCAGTTCAGGCCAGTCTCAACAGGCTCAACCAACCGAACCTCGAGGATTAAATGAGAGGATTTTGAATGACTTGGCAGGTAAAATCGGACACAAATGGACACATTTGGCAGTACGTCTTGAGTTCCAGGACGCTGAAATTGAAAACTTCCGAGCTGACCACCCTCGTTCGCAAAAAGAGCGGACGTTTCAGATGCTGAAAACATGGTGGCAGCGGTGGGATCATCTTCATGATGCTGATGGTAGCGGCGCTCAGGATGATCTTTGCGATGCCCTTGAAAAGACTGGAAGGAATGATCTGATTCTGTTTCTGAGAGGTAACTGTAATCTTGAATACAATGCTTTAAGGTACCACTTTCTCTGACAAAAAAAGAAAGAAAGTGAAAGATTGGGACAAACATTTGGCAGGACATCCGACCAAAATAACAACTGAATCTGTTCTGTTTTTTGTTCATGACGTGCACACATCCTATAGAAAAAAAATAGAAGGTGTATCATAATTCATAATATACGTTTTTCCGTCCAATTTCGCAACTTGTTCATTCCATTTCCAAGAAGTTTCCATTCCATTTCTTTTGCTCGTTTTCGGTTAACCACCGCGGCAAATTGTATAGATTTCTTTCCTGTCATAAAAGTGTCGTGGAATTAAGTTTAACTTCATTTGGTATTCTTGCATTTCATTGGACTCAATCATATGTGCGGTGAGAAAAAAGTTTCAAATAACTTATACGATTTTTATTATCTCTTTATTAGGCTGACAATTTCATAAAGTGATCACATCAAAACTTAACAAACTGATCACTTTGGTCTGCATATTCTGTCTTTTTTACGCCGTGTATTATCGGCAAATTTCCACATATTTATTTCCTTTTATCGCTTTGAAACTAAATATTTTTAGTTCTGTTATGCATTTTTCAAATTTCCTTTTCAAGCTTTCGAATATTTCATTGAAAAAAACTGTACATTTTCAAAGTCAAGTCATTAGGCCAAACAAAAAAAAGTCTCCGGTTTCTGGTATGCGCGCGCGTCGCCGTAGCCATGCGCGTCGGCAAAATGAAAAAGTTTTTTTTTCAATGAAAGATGATGTCTCAAAACCGCCAAACTCACTGGTTTGACTGGAATCCTGCTGCTGCACAATTTTAATGTATTTTTAGATGGGGTTATGATCGAGAATAAGTTTTATGTGGCCTCTCTGGTCTCCCATAATATTTGCACTAAGTTTAGTCGGGCACCATTTGCAGTTATCAGCCGACATTTGAAGCAAAAAAAAACAGGTAAAAAAAAAAAAAAAGCCGCGTCGCAGCACCACTTTTTGGACAAGCTCCATACCAGAAACCGGAGACTTTTTTTGGCCTTATATATGTTGTTTCATAACACGATATAGCACACGTGTTACTTTTGTATAACACATCTATCAAACTGCATGAATTCCCGAGCGGGACTGAAATCCAAAGCTCATGAAATCGAATGAACATGTTACGTAATTTATCGGTTGCTTTTTACACGTTAACGAAGATATCCAGAAATGTTCACTTTTGCTAAATTGAACTGGATGTGAAATAACGCTTGCCTATTTTTATGCACATTTTCAATAAACGATTTTTATGATTAAATGAGTAAAGGTGTGAAATTGGATGGGAAAACCGGTGTTCCCGATGAACCCGACCAATTTCGCAATTTGTTCATTGAACCAGACAAAATGTACATTCCATTTAATGAGATTTTAGGGGTCAGTCCTGTTGTTGTTTTCTTATTGCTATAGTTATAACTTTTGATTTTGTTTTTTATGTTTCCAATTAGTATACGTTCAAAATTGTTCGATTAAGCATATTCCAATTCGTTGATTGGTGTTCAATTTCGCACAAAGTGGGCCAATTTGATCGAAAGAATTAAGTGTTCGTTTTGAAAAAAAAGTGAATTCTAATTAGGAGACAACTTAAGTTGACTTTCAATTTCGCCAAACGTATTGGAGATATGAAAATTATCATTTTTTTCATTTATGTGACATTTGCGCAAAGTGATCACACCAATTCACAAATCGGTCTCTTTGGTCTTCACAGGAAATTCTGGATTTTTACGCAATATTCTATCGCCAAGTATTTTCATGTTTCATTTCATGCATGCACTTGTACAGTACTTTAATTTGAAATAGGGCCTTTATTCCAGTCCAACATGTATACAGCTTTTTCAAGATTCATGTTATTTCAGTTTCTGTTTAGCACTATCATACAATAATGTCGCTAATGCAATGACCCAATTTCATTGAGCATGTGTTACTTTTGTAAACTTATGCACCAAACTGAATTCCCGAGCGGGACTGAACTACACGCATTAAAATGCACGTAACTTGATGCCTAGTTTTTACATCTAAGGAAAATACCTTAAAATATTTTAAAATTTCCCTACATTGAACCTAGTGCGAAAACGCTTGCACGTTTTTATTCGAATTTGAATGAAAATTATTTTTTATTGAATGAACAAATTGCGAAATAGGATGGTAAAACCTTAAAAAAAATAAAAGAATATTATCTTTCAAAGTGTCGTAAATTTAACATATACATTGTTTGTCTTTAATCGTAAGGTTCTGAGGATGGTGCGGGACATTTCAACCTTGACGCTTACCGCGATGAGTTCATCAGATACTACCAAGACGAGATGAGTGTGGTTCCTTTGCTCCCATGGCTCCCATCTGAAGTCAGTAGCATTCATGATATTTATGTAAAACCGGAGCTGCAAGAGAGACAGGACAAGGCTAGGAAGGTGAAAACACGGACAATTGAATCCCACGAGGATATGTTTAAACTGGAGTATGAAGACGGCGAGCCGGTCAGGTTTATCTTGCTGTCTGGCATTGCTGGTAGCGGCAAGACTACCAACGTGTCAAAGATTGCCACCGACTGGGCACTACAGACGCCGAGATCTACATCTTCACTCTCCAAATTCACGTTTTTGGTAGTCCTGAGTATGCGAGAACTTAAGGGAGTCCCAGATCTGACCAAGGCAATATTTGACCAAATCCTTGCCCAAGATACGAACCTTGATCGCAAATCTCTGACAACTTACCTGAGTTCACATGCTGAAAAAGTCCTGGTTGTGTTGGATGGCGCTGATGAGTATGATAAAGAGGGTTCCCAGTTGCCATCTGAAGGTTTCATCAATAACATCATCAGAAATAAGATTCTTCGTGGATGTACCGTCATCGTCACAACACGTCCCCACATGGTGGACAAGTTGTGCAAGCTCAATCCTTCTTTCATTCATATTGAGACCAGGGGTTTCTCAGACGAAGGAGTCCAGAAATACATTCAGAAGTTTTTCAAAGGCGACGATTCAGAGGATTCTGGCGGGTTGTACGAATATTTGAAGGCATCTGAGACCCTTCGTAGTTTGGCGAGAACACCCATAATGCTGCTGCTCATGTGTCTTGTATGGTCAGACGAACAGAAGCTCCCCGAGACGTTGACAGAGTTGTTTAAGGAAGCACTTCTCTTCATTTTGAAACGTCACTTTGAAAAATCCGGTTTGCCAATTCCTGAAGATAAAGAGTTACTTGAGAATCAGTTGATAGATCTTTTGCAAACTTTAGGAAAAGAAGCGCTTGATGGTCTGTTGCTTTTTGGACAGAAGCTGGTCTTTGAAGCTAGGGACTTTGGGAATTCTGAGGTGGTTGACAAAGCTTGCAAAATTGGAATTCTGTCGAAAGAGAAAATTCGAAGTAAATTACGTGCGGTTGAAAGCGTGACTTTCTTTCATAAAACCTTCCAAGAGGCAATTGCTGGGTTTTATTGGGCGAGTCTAGTCGAGTCTGATAACGAGTTGTTTAAATCTTACCTGAGTAAGGTGGATAGGGACAATGCCTTGGGTATGGAGTACGTGATGCGCTTTTGCTGTGGTGGAAATGTCAAAGCGGCAGAATCCCTTCTTCGCTACGTTGCTGATACTTTCAGCTGGGACACTGAAATATCGGATGTGCAATTTGATATAGGCCTTTTTCGAGACTCAAATGAGCCATTCAGGAGGCTTTGGATTTTGATGCATTTCGAAGCACACTCGGCCGAGTTGCACGATATTGCCGGGACCGTCTTTAATCATATATTCACGGTGAACATGGACCGTGGAAATGATTTCAAGACTGCTCTTAACTTTCTAGTCGAGTGCGCGACTTCCTCAAATCAGTCATTTCTATACATGCTGAAGCAAGTCGTGATTCAAAACGTTCTTTTCAATGAGGACACGTCCTTACTAACGAACATATTGAGGTGCAACCCAAAAGTAACAGACGTCCATATAGACCTTAAATATAGATCTGGAAAAAGTGACGCACCCGATGCTTGTCTCGGTGAAGCACTTTCAAGAATGCAGTCACTAGTGAGGCTCGGTATTGGTGGCCATTATTCAAATTTGTCTGCCATATTCAATCCATTATCTCAGTCCTATGCAACAAGTCTCAGCACTTTGAAATTATATGGGTGTAGTATGAAATGTAGGGACTTGACGGGATTTTTCCAGAATCAAAGCAAGCTTTATGAACTAATTCTTGAAGACGTTCACTTGGAAGATGATATATCTACACTCAAAACAAATGCTTCGGAAGTCATCCAAACAAAATACGTGAAAGTATTGAAGTTGTTAGGCTGTGACAGTATGACTCTGGGCATACTACGCCGCGTTAGGTCGTTTCCGAATCTTCAGTCCCTGAAGCTAGTGGTCGAAAATGGTTGTGACTTTGACCTCATGGACCATGTGTGTAACCTACCTGCAGCAGCTCCCCAGCTGCAGGTTGTTGAATTGAAAGACGTCTGTATTCTCAGAAATGCCTTTCCGTGCCTTCAGTTCACGAAACTTCTGCATGTGCTGAAACTCAGCTTCGGAGGTCATTACTTGATTTCTAAACAAATAATCACTCTTGTCAAAGACGTCCTGCCATTACTTGCTAATATACGTGTCCTGGAAGTTTCCATGGGGTCAATTAACGCAGAAGCCTCCCTAGCAGTTGTGCAGTGGGCTTGTGCTTCAGAATCCATAGATGAACTCACCTTGTACGACTGTGTAGGTCGTAGTTGCTATGGCACACGTCACACAAATGTATCTAAATCTGTTAGTATTGACACAATGAACGCTACACAGCCAACCCAGAGCTCCATTCAAAAGTTGAACGTCAGTTGGAGCGATTTCGGCCCGTACACGGCAGCTTTCATGAGACGTTTGAAGCAAATGCCGTTCTTAAAGGAATTAGACATGGAGAAAATGAGTCTTGAGCAATCTGACTGGAATGACCTTGTGGAAGGTCTCAAGAACTGCCAACAGCTTCAAAAATTAAATCTGCGCAACTTCTCCGTGGTAAGCAGGCTTCTTGAAGCTGTACTGAGGCTAATTCCGAGGCTGCCAAATCTTCGTCTGTTGAACTTGCCAGAAGTGCGTGAGAAGCCGACCCAGATGGTTCAAGACTGTTTAACCAAATGCGACTTACATGTACAGAAAAAAGACTGGTATCATACATTTTATCAGTCGGGAATTGCAGCTGTAGTGAGAGTCGTCGAGCAATACGACATGGAGTGAAAAGGAAGCATCTTGTCAAGAAATAACAATGTTGGGTTTGACTGTACATGTACTTACCACTCTTCTAAAAACGAGTTACAGATCATGTCACGTGACGTCATGCATATATAAGATGCCGACTGACAAAACAGCCACTCAAGTATCGATTTTTCTGTACAAGGTTAGTAAAAAAAAAAAGCGGAACCCAAACCCCCCAAAATATATTCCATATTTAAAAAAAATATGTAGTACCAAAAATATAACGACTGGATATCCGATTTCATAAGCTGCTTTTAAGATGGAAAAAAACACCAAATACTCAAATTGCTCCATCCGTTCAAAGAATATCACCATTTAAACACAATGACTCTAAAATCTCCCTCGTCCAAAAAAAGTAGTTTATTGTGTATTTTGAATATTTGGAATAACAAAGAAAATGACACAGAATACTTGTTTCAGCAACTGTCAACAACTGTAGTACACAGTATCTGTATAAACAACCCTGGTTAGGCAAACAATATAATTTATAAAATCCATTTTTTTAAAAGACGGCCTTCAGAAGGACTTGGTTGAATATTTGTAACTTTTAAACAGAGGGTTTATCGCTGGTGATATTTGAAGACAATTGTGACGACGATTCTTGAAATCGCATTTTTGGACGAGGCAGGTTTTATTGTCATTGTCTTTAAATGGTGATATTCTTTGAACGGATTGAGCGATTTCAGTATTTTTTTCCATCTAAAAGTAGCATATGAAATTGGCTTTTCAGTCATTATTATTTTTGGTGCTACATATCTTTTAAATATGAACTATATTTTTGGAAGGTTTGGATACAGCTTTTTTTTTACTCGCCCTGTATTTGTTCGCTTAGTGATCTCAATATAATTGTAAACCGACAGTACTTCAAGTGATCTGCATGAAACGCCAAAGTTTATAACAGTCGACTGAAAGTCAGCATCACGTGACCATAACAGACGAGCTAACGGTTTATTGAGTTACAAAAACGAATGTTATGTTCAGGACCGACATTCCTAGCTTGTTCAGTATAACTTGTTTTGAAAACAAACTTAAGTCTTAATTCAAATAAGAGAAACTCAGCAGGTGCATTAACTAGGTGCATTGTACAAATGTTAATGCTAAACGAAGACATTTACAAGAGCGGGGTTTGAACCCGCTACTCCGGAACGACATCCCGGCAGGTTCAAACCCCGCTCCAGTCAATTGCTTTATTGTTCAGATTCAAATTAAACGCGCACATTTTGTGATAAATGGTTTCAACTATCCTTCCAAACCCTTTTGGTAAAATTGCAGGTATAAAAGTTACTTGCCTGTTAGAATTAATCACGGGTTGACTTTCGTACTCCGGGAGAAAAAGATTTTAAAAAAAGTATTTGATGAAGATCAAAAGATTTATAACATTGCTTCAAGGACAAAACAATATTTATTCAGGTATAGTCGTGTAATTGCTTGCAATCAGTCTTCTGATACCAGCAATTGTCATTGAGGAACTTGGATCCAATTTATGAGCGATATAGCGTATTTATAAATTATAATATCTATTTGCGTCCCAATTCGACGTATTTTTACGATACTATGTGCCTTTCTAAATGTATAGATCGCTACCAACGCTATGGAAAGAATCAGTTGCACATACGTGCTAAAAAAACAACAACTAAACACTCTGACAATCTGGAGCAATCCGGGCACGCTATCACTTCTATCACGATGCCCCCTTCAATGGCGAGAACTATATTGTTAAGATAATCCGTCTCGCGGCAGTAGCTTTACAGTACACTGTAGTAAGGCGAATACTTTCGCTGTGATGTGAAAAGTCTTCATCTGCATGCTCTTAATATAGCACGTATGCTGTATAGGATACTTTAGTGCGATAGCTCCTGCTTAGTTTCTGTATACAGTGAAACGCCGCTATAACGAACACCACTATAACGAACATTTGGTTATAACGAACTTCCCAACAGGTTCCCAAAATAGTGAATTATATTATAATGCACAATCTCTATAACGAACAACCACTATAGTGAACACTTTCTGTGGACCCCATCGTGTTCGTTATAGCGACGTTTCACTGTTCCAGTATTTGATAATACAGTCACTAAGACCTGATTGGCTAATTCTTTGGAGTAGGTGTGTCACTGCATAACAATGATAGATTGTAATTGGATTGTTAACTTGGTGCATGTTTTTCATACTGAATTGTACACCAACTTATGAAGCTATATGAAGCCGATCAATAGGAGAGTAGGATTTAATAAACTCACTTCTTTTTCTGACTTAGAGGTTGGACCGATATAGAAGTCAAAAAAGTTTCCCGTTTTCCAATCATTTGTGGTATAAAGGGTGTTTTCCACTCCAACCCTAAATGCACTAGGCAATCCATCCGATCAACCAATCTAATTAGTACTGTGGATAATCCACATCATCCACCATTATCATCTCATCCACCGGAGGAATCCGATGAACAAAAAATAAGTATTTGGAGTACAAGATGGAAAGGAAGCTATATGAATTCCATGTAGTATTTTTAATATCTCCATTTTCAACCTTCACAGTGCGCGGGTCGATACTAGGTTTTCGTTTCCATGGCGATATTTTCTCGACAATGTTGAAAGTTTCCTCGGAATAAATATCAATATCGCGGAGTTTGTACAGAAATATGTTAATCAGACCACAAGTGCATAGCTCATGCATACCAGCACAATATACGGGCGCACTAAAGATGCTCCACTCGGTGAAATTATGTTCTGTCATCGTTCTTTTGGAGAGGTTTTCTTGCTGGGTGACTCTGGGCTCCATCCCCTGTCCACCCACCTGGCAGACATTTCAGGGGAGTGGGTACTACGTGCACTCGGTTCCCATGGCCTGGGCCAAAGCCAAGGAATTTTGCCACAAGATGGGAGGCAACCTGCTGATGCCCAAGTCATCTGAGGAGAACGCGTTCGCCAACTCGCTACTGGAGGAACGCAGGGCGACTACAGCAGGGCTGTACTGTCACAAAGATGAGCAAGGGTGGGAGTGCGAGAGCTCGGGGTACAGAAATGCATCCCCAGGCCGCAGCATCCCGGCCAGAAGCTGCGGCACTATGAAGACCGAGGATGGCCAGTGGTACGCCGCACCGTGCGACCAGGAAACGACTGCCGTGTACGAGAGAGAAGCGACGATACAGCAAGCCAGCCTCGCCATGCACTGCATGACCATATGGGCGGACGGACGTCCAGTTACCTTTGGGCAGTGCGTTCATAAACCCGCACTTAAAAAAGCGTTAATTTTGTCTAAATAAAGGA